CCATTTTTATAGCCAGTAAAAATGAAAAGCTTTGTCCTAAATCAAATCACGCCAGCTTTCCCTCATCAAGAAAAGTCTGACTTTTTAAATGACACTGAACATTATTACACATTTGCTGTATACAGAAAAATAATTGAATGGACAATTGTTCTCATTCATATGTAAATGTCATTAGTCTCTTTCAAGACAGAACCATGTATTTCTCATAGATTTCCAAGTTGGGGGTGGTGGGAATACATACAGCTTTGTATCCCAACAACTGTAATACCTTGAAACGGTGTTTTTACTTGGACATTTGATATAGCTGAAACTCATGACATGCCTGTTAGCACTACAGCACATTACTTACCAGCATAAGTTGGAGTGGCAAGTGTCAAACACATAACGACTATGTCTGCCACTTTAGTGGACTCACATCAGTAAGAACCAAAAACGTTCACAATACGTTGAGGAATTGTGAAAGCTTATACATGCTAACAACTTACTAAATGCAATTTCCTGTAAGACTTCTCAAAATTGCAACAGACTATCTCCAACTGCCAGCACTGAAACTGGAACGCAGTTGAATCTCGTGAACATGCAGAAATCATACCTATTTCAAAGGGAGGTAGTAAACCCTGAGTATAAGACAATAGTAGACACTACTCTGAATCAGTGTATCCAAGTGTTTCCACAAACTTACTTTCCGCCCCCCCAAGTGTTATTCCTATCTTTGAACATGCTGTATTTCAGCACCTACTAAACTTTTCACACTCATTTCAGGATCCCCTAAAACAGCCATTAAAACCATACCCCTACCTTTACATCACAACTGCAACATGTAGCACTAACACCTAACACCGTACATTACTCACTTTTTCTATTCAATGTCTTTTCTCCCTTAAAAGCCAGGATCCATACATAAAACAAAAAACCACCACAAACTCCCCCCGCCCTTTTTAAAGAAAAAAAAAAAAAGAGAGACACTTTGAGGTAGCGATTAATCATGCAGCTAAAGATTAATTCCCAGCTGCTTGGGAACCATCTGGACATTCTACTGGTAAAAACACTAGTTTGAATTGCTAACCTACCTCTTTGATCTTTCGCAATGTCTCCAGCACATATGTGCAATAATTAAAGACATCGTTCCCAAACTATTGCAAAAAAAAAAAAAAAGTAACTGTACATGTACAGATACATCTCCATGACCAGACCAATTAGTATCAGGAATTATAAATCACAAGCCAGTTTATGAAAACACGTCTCATCCTGATACATGCTGTATGTCTCACACCAGTCTAGCAATAGAGTACGGTTTGGGTTTTATTACGCTACATCCTGAAGAGGTATCAAAGCAAGACAGGATGCGATTCCCTCACACGGAAGACAATGGACAACTTGCACATGTTCTTAGGAACAGGACATTAATCAGGCAGCAATCGTGTTAACACAAGTCAAGATCGCTGCCTTTTTAAACACGAACTAACAGATCACTATTCAGAACGAGAACGTAGGGGCGAGAATCAGTTTACAACTGAATCAGTGTAAGTCAGACGCTGCATTCGAAACAGACGTCAGGGTTGGGGATAAAGGCGAAAATTCAAACGAACCAGCGAATATTCAGAGTCACAGTATACGCTGCTTGGAATAATTTTACAGGAAACAAAACAGTATTTGCAAAACCAAGTTGTCACAAGATAAAAAAGTTATGGAAAAGTGAAAAATCAAGATGAAAGCAGTAATTATGTCCTATCTGCCTTTTTGCATTTTTGTGTCCCTTCTTACGGGCCACACGTGTGAACAGATTAACAGGCACTCCTACATTTTAACAGGAATATTCACCAGAATTAAAAAGCTAAACAATTTTTACCCCTTGGAAAACAGCAAGAAATTTATGAGAAGTATGTCTTGGACAGTTTTAGGTAAACAGGATGTTAAAAAAAGGGAAACAGTAAAGGAAGAGAAGTGGATATAAAGAACAAGGATCTGAAGAAAATAAAAATTCCAACACACAAAGTTCCAGTTATTGCAGGATTCAGGTTTTGGACCTACCTACAGATGTCCTTGAATCTCAAATGCTCTCAAAGTCCATCAAACCCCCTCTCCTCATCTTGTTAGTAAACATCTCGGAGCACAAAAACCAGTCCCATGACATGCCCAAGTAGGCTCCTTCAGCTGTATTCAGCTCTCCCCCTTCCAGACACATCCATCTATATCCATCTACCCAACAGATTTAGACTCTAGAGACATACACACACAGCAGCACGCGTTAGGATAACGCCTCCATATTGGTTTTATTTATTGCTTTTAATTTGGCATGCATTAAATATTTAATTCATTTATTTCAATATTTGCCATAGAGCAGAGCAACTGGGGGGAAGAAATCAAAACCAAAGGACAATGCTCACTGATCACCATCTCCTCTTAACTGCAGGGTCACAGCAGTGACCTTTAAGTGGGGGATTTGTGGGGGGGGTTTTGGGGTTGTTTTAACTTTTTTTTCCCCTTAAAACCCTACCTCTTTTCTGTAACACCAGTGTTATTCACTCTCCCTCCCAGGTTCTGCAACTCACTTCCCTTCCCACATTCTCTTTCCTCTCCATCCTATGTATGCTTTTTGGGGAAAAGCTGTATCACAGCTCCTATGCAATTCTCTTCGTTTCAAGTTATAATCTCTTGCCAGATAAGCAAGAAGCACAGTAAATCTGCAGCTTTCAACACCTTAAATTCAGAAGTCTTTTAGCCAGACCAGAACCCAACTATAACATCATCACTGCAGCATGCTGATTTTATCTTAACGTACATCACTAAAGCCCAACACTTCTGGTGCAATAAAATTATCCAAACGGCTCGACATCTGGGAATGCTCATTTACAAGAAAAGGAGAAAAGCATAAATAAAGGTTACAAAGATAAGGGATCTAAACAGTTTTTTTTAAAAGGCTGCATCTTAAAGATAGAATTCTCAAATGCATAAGAAAATCCCTCACTTCCTTTTCATCTTCCTTCCGGTCCTCAACCCATGAAAATGCATTTTCAGGGGAAAAAGATGTATTTCTCAGTAATGACAGTTTCCCAAATTGTTTAATCCATGTTAGAAGTATTTGGGGAAAGTATGACTAAAAACCACTGTCTGATAATATTCACATTTTCATAAATCTGTGATGTGGGTATCATTGAAAACAGCCATGTGTTCAGCATTACAGAGTCAAAACAGGTGCAGGAATGGTTTATGAACAGAGGTCTAAAGGTTAAGAGCAAAAACCCACAGTTATCCTATTTTATGTTCTCCCGTTCTACTACAAAGAGGTTGAAAACAGTTAAAGGTTCACCAAAACACTTGCGTACAGCACCATCTTACTGTTAATACATTTACATTCTATAAATGAAAAGGCTTTATTCTTAATTGAGCTTCACAAAACAAGACAAAAACACATTTAAGTTTTCTACTTAATAGCACACACATGGTGATTGGGAAATACTGGCTAGAATCTTTCCAGTTTAAACCAGCCCACAGTTGAGTACCATTAGCAAATAGTACTGGATTTTTCCTGTGTGGTTTAGAGGATTTTTCCACTAAACTAGGGAAGCATTCGCTGAGTGTTTTATGCAGCTACTTGGCACACATTCCTGTTGGTTTAATTTGAAAATATCATTTAAATGACAACGTTGTGCTTTCAATTTATTTATTTTTTGGTCTATTTTCACATCTTATGAAACCTTGCCTGGCCTCATCCCGAGACAATGGTGGTTTGACTATTGTCAATAAAAAGAAGAGTCAATATTAGACCAGAGCAGAGAAAGTGAAAGGCACACGTATTGTGCAACTGCCGTTTCAGCCTGCTTGTTTAAGCATCAAATTAGACTGCCAGCTATCAACATAAAGCAGAACTTCATATACATTATTTTATTGAGAATGGAAGCGTCTGCAAACCAAGTCCAACCTCTCCGGTGTCTCAGTTAAAGATGTCTTCTGAAGCGTCCTTGAAAGTAACTTCAGGACAGTTCTAATTCATAAGAATCCTTACAACATGCCATGCAAAAGGAGGGACCATTTCATGGCTTGCAGATGATGCCCCATCCTTTCCAACTCGTACATACGCGGAGTCCTATGTAGGGCTAAGTACTTGTGGAGATCTAGGGAACTGTGTACATATGCTGGGATTTTCCAAACGCATATGGCTGAAAACAGAAATTTCAAGGGCAAATAGAAGAGTTTTGGGGTTTGTTTGGGGGTTTTGTGTATCTTTTTTCCGCTAATGCATGTGGAACTTCCCTTCCTGAAGTCTGGCCCACGAGACCACTGATTCACTGACTTTCAAAAAAAACTATGTAATGCCTACACGGCTTCAGAAGAATCTGAAATACCTACGTGCTAGCCGCAATATACCTGAGTTTTGTCTCATTACCGATGTTTAATGACAAAACTATCATAGGTATACAGCTCCCTTACACTATGAAAAAGGTAAAAGTGACCATGAAACTTTAGTTTTCTACACGTTCAAAACAAAATAACAGGGTATAAAAGAATTAGATAGGCAAGCTTGGACAGTAACTTCATCAGTTAATGATGTTCAAAAGAAATAATACAAAAACCCGTATGAATAAAAGACTATGGGAGATAGGCAGGGCAAACATAGAAATAAGGTAGGTCCTAATAGAAATAAGGTCTAGAGCTGCAGATTTTTAAAGGTATATAGAAAGTAAACAAAAATCCTCACTACATTAAGGGTACCATTGTTTCTGTTAAAAGGTAGCTTAGAAAATGCCTAGAACTCAAATGCTTGTACACTAAGAATTCATTCAAAGGAACACTAAATGTGTTCAGAAAGTCTTTTTTTATTCCCTAGGTAATTGGGGAATACATTAAGTATTTAATGAAAAGCCCTGTGACTACAGAAAAATATTCTCTTACATGAGATTTTCTGCTATAGCAAACTGTTTTGTGAATACCCAATTTCAAAAAAAATGCCCCAATTTACTAATCTGGGTATAACTCTCTTTTTCTAAAAATAATCTTACCTTTTTTTCATGCATTCGAAATAGTGCCTGTTCATCACGTGAAGTGCTACTTTTTCCTAGACCAATTTTGGGTGTCATCTGTTGAACGAGAAAGTTCAAAACAACTCAGTAAGTTCAAAGCAGTAACTCCAAGCAAAATCAATCCTAACCAGAAATGAAAAATATTAAGTGTGGTTTTTTGCCTTTATAAAATATCAAGGGAATACAAATACCTACCAAAGACACTGGAACCGGTTTCTCACGCAAGTATCGTGGATTTTCTAACTGAAACACAAGTTAGAAAAAGTAATCATGTCAGCAATGCTTATTACGTCTTACAAACAGTAAGAAACACCTCCAAATATTAAAAATTTTGCAACGACAACTTCGGGTGTTTACTTTGAGAGGTAATCTGTATTACTGAGGGGGTACTTAACACAGTAACTGTATCACTCGGAAGAACAGAAATAAAACAGATTTGAGCATGCTTTTGGATGCACAGAATAGGTTCGAGAACTGCTTTCCACTAGAAAATCTGATTAATCTGCAAACCATCGCCACAGTACCAGCTCCAGATACATGGCTGTAACCTAGAAGCAACACAGATTAGTCCCCCTGGGCATAATTCTTTCTCCTGTAGCAGATGTCAATGATTCTGAAGAGCACTCAGAAGAACACAAAGGCCCAAACAGAAAACCTTCACAAAAAATCATTTTGGTGGACATGACCTATTCGGCAAATTAAAATCTTAGCATTTCCTAATGCAATGGACAAGAAATTGCACCTTTTTCCCCAAATCCTTGAATTCCAACAATGCATATTTTAAAAGAATTTGGCAGCTAAATTCAGAAATTATGCAAAATATTTCCAACTTCATTGGATGAACTTCCATTTCAACCAGTGTAAAGCAAGAGTAAATTCAGAGATTACAATGATTTTAATCTAGTGTTTTTGAAAAGTCACAGTTGATTGCACCAAAACTATATCCACATATGTAAGTCAGAGACAAAAACATAAGGAAATAATTCATTAACAGTACTGTATATTTAAAGCAGCTTTTTAATCACTGTTTTTAAGAATTGAATACAAAACATTGTTCACAACCCACTTCCTCTATCAGACAGCTCTATCTTTTTCATTTCCTCAGACAATGAGGCTCAAACATCATATCACAGAGAATGCGTAACACCCAAGAAAAGCTTTCAAGGGTATAATCTTGTAAAATGTGGCAATTCCAGATTCGGAATACGAATATGATTGCAATACACATCTTACAACACTTCGTCTATTTTTTCCCCCCCCAAAAGATTAAATTTATCTATGAGGCATGGCAAATATATCAAATGCTTGCACTTTCTCCAGTACTATTAAATAAATTTGTGTGTTGAATTTATAAGTGAAAAAGAGGCTTAATCCCTCTGAAATATCAATTTGATACAGTGTTATTCATTTTCTGTCCTAAAAGGTTATGTAGGATTTCTATATGCTGTTGAAGAGTCGTCATATTTCACCCAGAAGTAGTTGTAGATTTTACCATGTTTAACACGCACATTCAATTTTACAAATAGTATGATTGAATATTTTAATACTACAGCTGAAAATTTATAAAGAAAACAATTTAACAAATAACCTGTTTCTCTTTGTGGTCAATGAGTTTACTAAAACAGATACATTAAACTTTCTTTCATATAAAGCATCCTGGGTTGGTTTTATTTCAAATTGGTTTTATTCCAACCAATTTTTACTGTTTGTTTTGTTTTATTTAATTTTGGTAGGTTTTTTTTTTAAACATGCCACAACAACTGGCATACAAAAAACACAGGGAGACATTAGTGAATAAAGGAATCCTGCACGCACCTACTGCAAAAAAATCCTTAGTATTTGAACAGAGGACATGGGTGAGAAATGAGAAAAACATCATGGGGCATTAACCACAGAAGATAGTTAACAGTGGGGAAAAAAACCCAAGAGAGACAGAAATAAAAAAATACAGAAATACTAAACCAGGAAAATTTAGCATTTTCTTTGTCCTACATGTCTGTACCTGCAACAGTATTTTCTATCTAAAATTGCCTGATTTTACTAGTACTGTGTTCTTCCTTCTCTCTCATTCCGCCTACTTCCCCATCCACCCCAGACACCCAATCAGTTCCTGTACAGATACCCAGGACTGACGACAGCTTTGCCCCTGATCTAGCTCCCTAGAAAACCAAGCGGCAGACAACGCTGAAAGATTTCACCAATACCTGGTGGAATTCCAAGAAGGCTAAAGCTGCAGAACCAAATTTCAAAGGCTTAATTACTTTCCAAAAGCCCCGGCTCTCAAGCAAAATTAATACAATCATCCTTTACTTTTGCCTTTTAAAAGCTAAACATTATTGTAAATATTTATAATTAATTCAAATACTTTATCTGACCATGAAATTAAGCTGTTTACAGTCTTCATTTCAAAACCAATCTAAATAGCTAAAGGTATATCCTACTTGTTTATGAGAGAGAAGGAAAAATGTGTCTCTAATACTGGCCTAAGTCTTGCATTTTTTGATTTTGTAACAGCAGCCATATGTGCTTTGAAGTTAAATGTTCCCACTTTGTTACTTGTTGTGGATTATATCCACTTAAACTGATCTGTAAACATTTAATGTCTCAACATTCGTTCTTTTCATGCTGGTCTTCTGCAAAACTTCTTGTTCTCAAAATTAAACCACATTAAAGAGGGAATATCACAATAAAGAATGCCCAAAAAAGAAAAAAAGCTTGTATTTATGAGAAACATGCAAATTTAAAAATAATAAGCAAAAGGTCAAAGACAAACCAAAATACATATGTATGAAACTGAAGGATTGTCATGAGAAGAACAGTAAATCACATCCTTTTTTAAGAGTATAAACCAAATAAATGTCATCATGAAAGACATCTTTATTTGAACTAGAATTGAACTCTAATTTGTAAATACCACTTTTTAACAAAAATGGCATTTTGAATTTCTTTGTAGAAAAGATTTTGGATTTTCCTGTTCTATTAGGCACTCCAACAGACAACCAACCATGTTTCAATTTGCAAGGAGTGGCATGGTCACCTTCTAGTCCCCGTAAACCAGAGTGGGGAAGGCTCTGGATTAAAAAACCCCCATTACTTCACGGAAATAGTCTACCTTATGAAAATATACTTAGTCTATGATTCTTCTCCTATGATTCTATGAAAATATACTTATTCCCCGAGTTGAAAAATGTACATCAGAAACCAACATAAAGACAGATTCCAAAACCGAAGTTAAATTAGCCATAATTTTTAACTTCAATATTTTCCATTTCTCTTAATTTTAACCACACCTAAATATTAAACTAAACTATTTTGAAGTATACAGGTTAAAGCTACCAACGTAAGCAATGAGTGAAGCACTGATAGGAAAAGCAAAGTGAGCTGAAATGGTTTGCCTCAGAAGCCAGGGCAGCACAGAAAAAGCACTTCCACAAGATTCATCCTCAGGGCATCAACAGTATTTCATCCCTCAGGCTGACAGGAGTGTACAGGCTCTCTCTCTCTCATAGTCTAGAAACTTCTACCAAAGCTTCTGCTCTTTTGACACAGCAAATACCACAACAACGACAAGTGTAACGTTTATTCCATCCCTTCCAAAGTCACATTTCATCCTTTGGAAGATGTTTATCAAGGTATTCAGATCTTCAGTGATGCGTGACTGTAGCTTATTACTGTTCAGTAGCAAAGTCAGAAGGCATGTCGTATATATTAAGATTCAGGGAAAAAAAAAAAACCAACAAACCCCACACCACACAACAGTTGGAGCAGCAGGCTTGTTCCACATTCCCCCTTAAGCTTCTTCAAAGACAAAATGTGATTGTTTTCAAAACAAGGATGAGAAAAAAAAAAAAACCACACACACATGAAAGAGTTAAGAACACTTAAGATTTTGAAATGGTAAACAACTAAACTGAACCTTGCCCTAAGTTCTTTCTTTAATCTAACAAACCCAGCCAGCCAGCATGTTCCCTACAGAAATAACTGCTGAGTAGCTTCAGGAAATTTGAGTAATGACATTCTTATCTAGCATCATAATTTGTAGGGAAGTTCACTTTAATGCTGCTTTTGCAGTCTTCGTGGAAGGACATTAAAGCACATGCAGATTGTTTGTCAGCATGGAAGTTGAATTTATTTTTTGAACTCACAACACCACTTGGAGTTCACTGTGGGAAAGTTTTTACAGCGTTGCTGCCCTCCAACACAACATATACAGTAGGTATGTTTATAGTAAGCAGACAGACTAAGAAACCAAACAGAAGATAATCAAATGGTTTGTACAGAAATGATTGAGCTTAACTAGACTGGAAAGACAGGCAGATGTGAGCCAAGTACACAAACCAGGCCTAACACACACTGTTGCTGTAGCTACCCAAGAATTCTCTATGCTTGCATCTACTTTAACCCTGTATATTTCTCCAAGAAAGGAGAAAGTGCAAGCCACTGACCATGGAATTTCTTTGGTCTAAGCCCTTTATTAGGCAATAACACTTCCCATGGTAAGTTCTTCTGGTCAACAGCTGAGTGTCAAGGTTCTTTGTACTGAAGATCCCACACGCGTCTGGAAAAAGCCAAAGAGTTAATTCTTGTCCTGGCTGAATTCTAATGATGAAAAATCATGTTCTCCCTGATTAAAAACCCCTTTGCTCTTTCCCCAGGGTACAGTCGCCTTGCTTGCCTTCTACCTAAAATGAAGTGCTGAATTTCCTGGGATGTTGCTTTGTCCCAAATCAGATTGGCCACAATTCAGTGACAAATGAAACTCTGTCAGAGCATCACGAAAGATACAGAAGTAGACAGGTCAGGTAAGAATATGGAAGGGATTAACTCATTGTTCCTTTACAGAACTGAAGTTTTATATCCAAAAAAATCGTGTTCGTCTACAATCCAAAAAGCTTAGCAGCTACAAGAGGGGAAAAAAGAAAAGAAAAAAGAGCGAGTGTAATTCCATGATCCAGCAAGCTTCTTTTCCTGACCTAACATATACTTCACAAAATGCGATTATTTTTGAGACATAACTAAAGGGGAGGTGAGGATGTCCCATTTACGAAGTATACTAAATTTGCAACAACATGCAGAAGTTTGATAGCGTTTAATAAAATTAAATAGCTGAGGCTTTTTTTCTTTTATATCCTGAAATAGCTGAAGAACAACAAAGCAAGCTCAAAGCAACAATATGACCAAAGATTACTGGCATTTGCCTAACTCCTGGCCCAAACTTTCCCTTCAAATACCAATATGAAAGGATTTCTTCTTTTCTACATTGCAAATGAAACTTTAAGGCATGAACAGTTAATAAAGGACAGTCCCCAGATCACTTTAGATAAGAGTCAGTAAGGACTCAGAAAACCATTTTTCTAATGTGTTTAAAATTAGCTTATATTAGTATTCCATGTATGAAAGGCAAATTGAACATAGTCAAAACTCAGCTTTTTTGTGAGCAAAACTCAGTAGTCTGTGTACAAAAACGTGTCCAAAGCGATCCCTGTCCCCATCACTGCATGAAAAACGTTTAGAAGCACATGTTCTTTGGCCAGGCTAGCAACCTCGATTCACCATTTATTCCTTGATACACAACAAAAAACCACAACCCACCCAAGGAGAATTTGAAAATTTTCAAAAAATTTTTGAAAATGTTTTAAAATTTGAAAATGTTTTTAAAAACAACTGTTCTTAATATTAGGCAGTTCAAAGCAAAAGCCATCCTCTATTTCCTTTCCTAACTTTTCCCCACTACTAAAGTATTCTCTTATGTCAAGGGTCTTCCGTATCTGAGGTGGGATCATTCGTAAATTGGGTTTCTCAAATGGTCTGCAGATGTGGCTAGCAATTAAAAGATAACTAGATGTTCCCATGGCAATGTAAAGGCTTGCAAATAATACCCGTAGCATCTCCCACTCAAACTTTACAGCTTCTGAAGTGCTACCATCGTTTAAGCCTTTTTTTTTCCCCCTCATTTTCAATAATTACATATTCTTCGTTATGTATGAAACTCTACTGAAAACTTCTTGATCCTTTAAGAACCCACTGGAGGTCACAATCCATAGCAGGGTAACACTGTTCAACAGCAACCACTTACAGACCTCTCTTTTACAACCTCCATTCTCTGTCAGGTAACTCCCAACAAGTCTTATCAGGCAATTAAAGTCTCTCACCAGCGACTTGTTTAATTACCAACCCTGGAGAGGAGACTTGAAAAACTGATTTATGTGTCACGGTAGCCAATTTGTTATCCAAGACTGCTCCCATATCAGTGGAGGATCATCACGGTTAATAACCGTCCATTATCAACACAACATGATAACAAACTGGAATTTCAATTAGAAGAAGGAATAAAAAACAAATAAAATCACAGAGATAAGCAAGCAGGCAGATCGACACCGATATAAAAATGCTGGATATAAAGAGATGCTTTGTCAGAATCAATTGGAACAATTTGTAGAATGGCCACGAGCAAGTTTCCCCCTTAAAGCAGCTTTAAAAGCTCAAGGTATTACCAACTATCTGTACATATAATGCAGGTATTTATACAGCCAAAATATCCAAAGTCTGCAAGTGACTGCTTGCACATTTGTTTCAAACACCTGCACAGCGCTTTCGCAAACTGGGAGTTGTCAGCGACTGAAAAGCTTTCAGGAGATCCACTCTCCCCCCTTTACAGACCTGCAACTCCTGAAAAATATATTCCTCTAAGTCTGGAAGTGCTAGAAATTGCTCTGGTATGCCTCTGCAAATGGCAATGAGCTCCCATGGGCAACACCGTGCCCCCAGACTAATGTCTTCACTAATCACCTTCCGTTTGGAGAAAGCAGTGGGGCAGCTCCTGGATTGGTTCAAGGTCAAGATTTCCTTCTTTCAGAAGTAAAACAAGAGAGCAATTAGCATTTAGAATGCTAACAGGCACCAAAACAGCAAGAGAAACTCCAAGGAGGACACAAAAAAGTTAACATTCCCTCTTACATGTAAGATTTTACTGAAGAGAACTTGCAAAACACTGAGTGTAATAGCCAAGATTTTTAAATGCTGTCATATCCCTCTGGGCTGACAAGAGCGTAGGAAGAATAAGGGTTATTTGGGAACTGATTAAACTGACAACATGAAGATACATGACTTTATTTGAAAGAAAAAAAAAAAAACCCACCCAAGAACACCCAAATCTGAAGTACTTCATTAGGAACTAGCTCTCATCCCTCCTAACTTCAGCTGCCCTCTGTCCCAAACACAACTGAGCAAGCTTTAACCTGTGAGAACAAGCAGAAAATGCAGAAAACTATTTATTAAAATAAAGGTGATCTTAATAAAATTACATGGTCATGAGAATATTAATCCTAATCAAATAGGTTAAAGGTTTGGAGGTGCAGGGGAAAGGGTTAAAAAAGGCAAAACAACACAACAGAAAAAATACCGCAGAACACAGCTACACTTCACTAGCACCTTAGAATTATCGTGGACTAATACCACAGAAAATACAACTATGGGAATAAAGTCTTGCTGTAACAGTAGCCTTAAATTAAAATTAAATTTAAATTCATCTAATATGTCCAGGTCCAAACAACTTGATTAATTGCTCGGGAACAACATCGATCAAGCCCCACATACTACATTTGCATATGCAAACATCAAAGATGATTAACATCAATTCACATCAATCTTAGGTAGCAACTTTGTCATCTCTCTTCATAAAAATATATTTACTGCCTCACTGTATTTACCTCTTGCACTACAGTGGCCCAAAAATAGAAAGAAGGTATTCAAGTCCTAAGAAATTATGATAGCTTGAAAATATAACTGATTTTACAAAAGTGTTTACAGAAGTGGTTTATAGCCAAAAAAAAAAATGTTAATACAGTTTGAAGTCATCCTAGCTGTAAACATGGAAAGCTTTGGGGAGTATCTTCTACATTTTTGCGAGATGCAATAAATACCAGCTCTGATGCTGTCAAACTGTCCAAGAACGAACTCCTCTATTCCCTCTCCACTGTAGATCTCCGTCAGACACTTTAGTTTTGATACATCCAAGTGAGGACAAATCTCAGCATCATAGCAGAAGTACCCTATTCACAAACACACTCTAAAGCCAGGGCTGAACAAGAACACAAGCCAAAGTACTGCAGAAGCTTCCACAAAGGTAGATTCCTTCCTCAGCAAAGCAATTTCGCAGAGACACACTATTCCTTTCCGTGAGGAAGGGGCACAGAGCCAGTCTAAAAATTCTAATTATTAAAAGGGAAGGCAGGCAGTCAAACACACTGAAAGCCTCTTAAATACTTCCAAAAGGAGGCAAACAAATGTTGAGTTGTATTAATGGCTCACAAACTGTATTACTTAAAAAAAACCCACAGAAATTTACGCAAGCATAAATTCAAAATAATGTTATGGAGTTACCAAGAAAGTCTGAACTTCTACCGAAGACACTTGGTTTTGAGCAGCAGGTATTATTTTGCTTGATTTATCAGTAACTACATGAAACACATCAGAATTATTATTGCTGAAAACTGAGGCATTTTTAACGTTTTCTTCCTAAGATGGCATGCATCCGTAATTAACCTCTCCAGGCTTTACCATTTCATTTCTAAAAGCCTGATTCCTACATAAAGTTTGGCTACTAAATTCAGAGACACAGACTACATTGCTGAGGAGTTTCCATTTCAAGTCAATAAATAAGTACTCTGTTTATTTTACCCCAAGATTCCAACTATTGAGGCGTGCTTCGAGGTCACTGTCATCCAAAGAACCGAGGTTTTTATGACGATGGTCCTGGAACATAAAAAAGTCAAAATATCAGAAGAACTGGCAGATACACAGGCTAAAAAAACTTCTCATTAGCCTTGGCCATGCCTACACTGCACTTCCCAATAGTGTCACGCCACCTCTGACAGCTTTAATCTAAATAGCTCAGTTAGCAGGAGCATACTGTGCTAAGAAAGGAATTCAGAGAATAAATTAATGACTCCTCACTTTAATGTTGTTCTTTATTTTACTTATTTCCAAAGCAACGGCCTCCTTTACAAAGGGCGAGCTTACTAAACAAAAGTCTAAATACTCCATTCTTCAGGCAACATACTTATTCTGGAAACGAGCAGTCTCCACACTACCTTTTGTGAGACTAATCCAGAATTCACAGATCACCTGATCAGCCTTCAAATTAGGAAAAAGAAAAATAAAGGAAGCCACAAGAAGGCTGGGATAGTTATAGTGGACAGAGCTGCAAAAGCAGAGGGCACAGGAGATACTACCCAGCTCAAGGATAGGGGTGCTCTTTGCAGAAAGAATTTCCAGCATTAAGGAAATTATTGTTGGTCAAGGCAACGTCTTTGAGAAGGAAGCTTTTCCTGGAGGGTAACAGTAACTACTAATTGCATTTAACCTATCAAATAGGGGAGCTGGTACAGAAAACTAAGTGAGATATAACACTCTTGAGAAAAACAGAACATGGAAGCATGAATTACTTTGTCTTGTTAAGCTGTTACAAAAAGGTTTGTGTATTGGCATGCAAGCACCTCTTTTGTACATCTGCTCATTGATTAGGAACGTACAGTGAATGGAGCTTTGACTTCAGTTAATCAACACTTGGTTGAGGCAGTTCTTAGCATTTGTTGAAAGACTCCCTGTTCCTCTACCTGGGCCTGAATTATGCCAGAACAGCTGTGCGGCACTGACAACAGAACAAGATACTATTTGTTCCAGCCAGCCAAATGTTCAAATTGTTTGGCAAAGCAAGAGAGGATTATTTCACTTAAAGGCCCTTTTAAAGCTGTAATCACAGTAGAATCCAGTATGTGGAGCTGAAGAACAATGAAGCGCGAGGATTTGTCTAACATTGCCCTGGCAGCCTGTGGCAGAGCCAGGGACACCACCGCCACCCAAACAAAACAACAAAAACACCAAAGAGCTTTAAAGCCCCAAATCCTGATTTCAACTGAAGGAAATCCTTTTCAATAAGTGTTCCATACAAAATATTTCTTTAAGTAAAACAAACAGGAAACCAAAAAGGAGTAATTTAGTAAGTCCAGAATCTGTTTTTATTTTTTTTCCATTACGGCATTTCTTTTTTAAATTACATTGGTATACATACGATCAACATGCACCTAAGTACATTCATACCTAGCAGAGCCTACAGCAGAGACATTCGGTGTTTGCCCACAGCCCATTTGCCACAATGAAGCGCCCCCTTGCTCGCTTCTATTCCAAACACACAGCGGAACACAAATTTCCTCAGAAAGACAGACCCCAGCTAGCTGCAAACCTCCAGTTTACCCCACTTGCACTTTATGCCCTCTTAAGTTCCTGAGTGTGCCCAGTAAAGAAAAGTAAAAGCAGCCTATGTGAACTGCCCAGGTGTCCACAGCCCACTTCCAGCTGCAATCTTTCTAAATTGTTCCTCTGACACAATCAAAAAATAAGTCTGGACAGACCCACAGTGTAGGGAGTGAGGGCTTTTACAGATGCACCGGCTGTGGTGAAGGAACCACAGGGTAATAGAGACTGGACACTACAAGGCTACAGAACATATTCACAAAGGAAAACAGCATACTTGTTGATAACCAGCACAATAACGTATCTGTCAGGAGTAATTTTCAGTTTAAATACTTGCAATTACACATACAGTATCATTAAATATTTTGGACTAAAAGGGTTTTACATGAAGTCTGTTTAGCGTCCTTCCATCAGTCATAAAGCTAGCTGTGGAAAGTTTCATAAAACAAACTGTCCAAAATAGACTCTTTCAGAGTTCAGTCATCATTAACAGAGCCAAAAGACATCTATGCAGCTTTCTTTAATCTACTATTGCAAAATACAAAATGATGTCAATACAGTCAGTTTGCCAAGCCAAGGGAAAACAATGCAGCAGACATGAAACACACTACACCAAACAAAGGTCAACCATTAGGATGAATTCAGAGCATCCTACATGAAATTCTTTTCCTCTGCACTTGCAGAGGGCAGATTTTGATGAGCTTTAGTGGCTCCTATCACTCCTTCCCAAACACCTGCACTTGTACACAGACATCACGACTCATGCAATTAGAAGTAACAGCTTTACAGGGATATACAAAACCAATTCATTGAAACTAAAGCAAGTTTAATGACAGAAAGGAGAAGCATCTTACAGACAGTGGTGTGGCTACGTTATCTTCATCTGTCCGGTGAGCAAGACTCATAGAATATGATCTTAACACTGGCTTCTCATTGTACTTGCATCTTTCCCTGTTATTGACAGAAAGAGTAAGCAGAGAGAGAAGAATTTATTGTCAACAACTTGCAGCACACAAAGGAGGATAATCTTAAAATAAAATCTCTTAAAATATACAGGAGAAAATAATAGTCAGCATGTAAAGATCAAGAGTAATACAATAAAAAAAGAAAAAAATTATAGCCATGTTAAAGACAAACAAAAGCCTTCAGCATTCCATTAAAAAACACCACCCAAAAACCTCCACACAAAAACACCAGAAATATTGTGCACATCACAGTATATTAAAAGGTGTTTATACATTTCTGTTACCGCATGACCCAACATCTCCCAACAGTTCTTAAAATAAATCCAAGTTAACTGAGAAGGCTGATCTAGCAGAATGTTTTTGAAGCAAACTGCTAAGCATGTGAGAGAGCATGGGATAAAATCCAGCAATTCCTGAAAGAAAAAGGAATTAAGGTGAAGGTTGGCTGCACCACAGGGGAGAAGATTTTTTAGACCAAAAAAAAAAAAAATAAAAGATAGGTTAGAGCAAGTTGTATCTTCATATAACAGAGAAACCTGAAGACAAGGGCCAGAACTGCATACACAGCTCAGTGGAAAAGCAATGACTTGGAAGGCCATGGCGGTGAATAACACGTCAAGGAAACAAGTCATAAAGATTGTAGTAGTTGCATTTCATTTCAGCTCTATTTTACCATCTAAAGTGATATACATGGGGAGGAGGGAGGCAGGGTTAAAGAAAGGCCTGCGAGACAGAATACAAGTACAGTATGAACAAGAACTCTGCCCAGTAGAAAAAATCCACGTGGAGATGGATTTTCTAGAAAAGCTTTTGTCATAAACAAAGCGCTTGAACTAAAGGAACTTAAGAATAGCAGATAAGTGAAGAGAGCCTTCACTGATGCACCTAGTCACAGGCATTTCTCAACTATAGAACAGGGAAAGAAAGTAACAGCCTGGAACAAAAGAAAACTATAAGAGATAATTAGATAGGTTGATACAGCAAAAAATCCAGAACAGTAGCAAAACACCCTTCAGCATATACTCCATTGTCAAATCCATACATATTAAAGTAATTAAAACCCCTTGTTAGTCCCTTCACCTTCCTGTGACTAGCTATATGTATTAAAATCAAATCAGACCATTAAAATACTTTTCATTCTTTCTATCTGGCAGCAAATTAGACAGTAAGTTGTGCCAAAAAGACACTGAGATGAATTAAGTGTTTATGAACAGAAAGACAACTGCTGGATGTACCACGTAAACTAGTCACTTCTAGGAAGACAAACAAACTTTTGTTTGCACACTGCCCCAGCTTTCACCAAAACAGCAGCCAACAGCAGAACAACCACCACCTGGAGCACACCTTCCCTCCCAGCACCAACCACTACCAACGTACAGGGATGCAAAATACCAATTACAAAGCAGTAAATAGTTTAGATAAGCAAAGTCTTAGAGATAAAAAAAGATCAAAAGAAATAGAATACTACAATAACAGGCTCTAGCATTCCAAAACATGCCTTTCTTACCAAGATTTCATTTGACACAAAATTATTTCATTAAGGAGACAAATCTCTGCACCTCAGTAAATCAGTGTCTTTACCAGACTTCTTGTCTGAACAATACTCAGGTAACCTAACAATTCAACAAAGTCATTAGGGAAATTAGGCAGGATTCATGCCCCTATCATTAAGAGATTAAGGAATATAAATAAGTATTCAAAGCAACCCAAGTTACCAGTAAAATTTTTAAATTGACAAAATGGGGGGGAAAAGCCTAGATATATTCTTAGTTCTGTATTTGCTCTTTTGAGGACAAACCAAAAAGCAAGTTGCTTTACTTGATTCCATAAACAAAATTTGAAGAGACCATTAAGGATGGACCACAATTTTGTTCATATCAAGCATATGCTACCCCTTAACTCCCTTTTCCAGCCTTCTGCTAATAGGAGTCAGGTTCCAGGAATCACAATTCTTTTTCCTCCCACAGCAGGTGAGTGGGGAATGGTCAGTCTTGACACCAGCCCTGTGATCACCTGCTTCAGCCAAAACAGTGACCTAGCACAGAAGGAAGCAATTTGCCCCTAATGAAGGGGATTATTTCCTACCAGGAGCAAAGTAAAGGCAACTTGCAGGTTCCTCCTGGTACAACACAGCTACACACTAACCTTTAACAGTGTTTTTCATGCATAATCTATAAGCCAAATCTATATATAAATCTAGAAGTAGAATTTTCCTATGGGGCCAGAAAAACCAGGTTTCTGTTCAAAATCCACATTCCTAAAACCAATCCTCTCATGTTTCAAAATAAAGATGGGCCTTCCTAGCACCAGCTGCCTTGGTCTTATTCATTTACAACCAGTTTGCAAATAAGGTTTCTCTTAGTCTATCTACTTTCTCTTTAGCCAGATAAACAACTTGTTATAGAAAAGCCAAAAATCTTCACCCATAGACACCTGTGTATTGCAAGATAAATGGAGAAGTTATTTTCATAGCTATTTTTGTTTGCTTCTTTTGAAGAAGGGAATCTTGAGATAAATAAATATTAAAAAATTACACAAACATTTCTAAGTGGCATCTATTTTACCCTGAAAAAATGTTGTAGTCTAAGAAGTGAGCCCCAGTTGGAATGCGAAACGTGCATCCAACTACGTGTCACAGAAAACCAGGTTGGAAGGGACCTCAAGGACCATCTGGCCCAACCTTCCTTGGCAAACGCATGGCCTACACAAGACAGCTCAGCACCCTGTCCAGCTGAATGTTAAAAACGTCACTACTCCAATGGCTACATAGCATGCCTATGGGTAGAGTTTTCCTAAAACACATTCCAAGTAGGACAAGTAGAGTGTACCAAGATCACCATCTGCTGGGTCTCTCTGCAAACTGCAGATTTCAGACGCAAATAGTACTTGACATCTTTACTCGCACTGACAGCTCAGTCTTAACTGTAAATACAAAGAAATACAGGACCTATACGTTGAGTACAGCAAACATCTTCATATGGACACATGTAAATAAGTATCAGATAAGCTATTTCTACAAAACATAACAGCTGAACATTTACCTTCAGTATTTCCTCCTGCATAACTCACACATTTAACATTAACTTTGATTACTCTTCGTAGCAATTTGTGTAATCTAGAGAGCTCTCAAAATTTCCAATTGCCAACACTGGAGTTCACATTTCCTTAGACCATTCTGGGTATGAGTACCCATTAGCAGAGCCATGCCTATACAGTTAAGTTACACTTCCAGATTTCTTTAAACCAGTAACTTATTCCATCACATTGACTTGCTTCTCTGGGAAGGAAATAATATGCAATACAGGTATCCAGAGAACTCACTACAGCCTTGGAAACCATCTATTCATCACCAGCACAGGTGTTGCTATAACCCCACAGAACAAAAAAGTAAATGAAATAAAACTTCACTACCCTGCCCATATCTTTGGGAACATGGCTAGACTGAGCTGAACCTCAGGTTCACATACTGAATGGGAAAAGGGGACATATTTCCAATATTCCACTGTAATCCAGGCAGCAATGAGAGAAAAACATGTGGCAGAGAGTACAAGGGATGGAGTAGGTGGAACTGTACCTCAGCCTTTCTCAAACAGGGACAAGTAACAGTTGGATGCCGCGGGAGGAGCATGCTGCCTCATCCCACTCAAATTACACCCCAGCAGACAGTACAAGTAAGGAATTCAGAAGGCTTGGGTGTATTTGCATACCTCAAATGTAGCCTTGTAGAGATACCAACGCGCTGGATTGGGCTAAGAGGGGAGAGCAGTGATGATGTTGCTTCTAATACCCACAGTGATGCTCAATCGTGATGGTGGTACTCCCAGCGATCAATCTGATCCAATCTATGCCAGGTACCTTGACATGGCACACAGTGCAACCTAACACAGACTTGGCCAAGGTCGCAAAAAGCATTTCTAAAGCATAATACAGTCGTCGTTTTTATAAGGTCAAACCTGATTTTTTTAAATTGAGAGTATATGGACAGCTCTTCCCAACAGTTCTTTGTATCACCAAGCCTAAAGCAGTAATACAGTAACACACCTGGCAGTTTCTCCATTCTCCACCTTGGTTTCTTAAAGCACAAGTCCACTATCAAAACCACAGGTTCCTATCAGAGCACGAGTGTAAACAACCAGAAGTTCCCTTCATATTAATACTGTAAGACTCAGAGAGAAGATGCATCAATCCTAAGTGCAACTTAAGTGACTGTTAGAATTAAGCATCACTAATGGATGCGTAAGAGTTTCACCATACTCAATATCAACGTGATTTAACTTCAAAAGTGCCCATCATCTATCCAAATCACAGCTGAAAGTTTTGAAAATGCAAGCCTCAGGACAATGATATATAGCATAAACACCACTGTGCCTAAAACAAAGTTGATGACAACCACTTACAAAAACTGTAAGTGAAGACACAAGACAATCACTACACTTCTGAAACAATATTTAAGAGCATATTTGTAATGCAATGAAACCAAACCAGAAGTCTCACACAGAAGTAGAGCAAACACTTCCTCTTGTGCAGAGCCTACTGCGTTTCAAACAATATTCAGGCTCTACCTCCAAGTGCTTTTTTCACCAAGGTTTTTACAGAGTTTAAACATTAACTAAACTTCAAATGAGCAAACAAGAGGCAATTCCACCCATGACTGAATTGCAGCCACATAAAAAAATGGATCATAGAACTTGATAATCAGTACAAAGTTGCACTGCATAAGAAAAACTAGGAAGAAAATAAACAGTTAAAAACAGAACGTAGATTAAACTAAAATTAACCTAAGATTCAAAAAAAATTGGACAGAGAAAAAGCCTATGATTTTCAACAGCGTCCAGCTGGACACCCCTTCAATACTTCAGGGACATTTCTCTAAGCCAACAGGAAAGTAAGCCTTAATAACCTGACAGATTTGACCCCTTTACCTGCTTTGCAAACAGCTCTGTACCCAACAGACTGGAACTAAGGATGCATCTTAAGCTTACTGGCTCCTGCAAACCTACAAAAATAAACTGTCTGATGGCTTTCCATAACAAGATGCAGCTACATATATTCAGGATTCTACTGTACTCCTGCAAATGAGCAACACCCAAGTGTTTGCATTATTCTAATGACAAACGTGCAGGATGTAGGCATTTAGAGATCGTTCAGATGAGGAGGGAGTCATTGCAAACAATCCTCCCCACACAGGAGAGCAAAACAACGTGGCAGAGTATCCCACAGGCACCAGCTCTGATTTTTGGCCTCAAGTTTTAACAAGTATAACTGGTCCAGTCTGACCTTCTGTAATCCAAGATACACAAAGTTTACAGGAAATACAAAGAAGTCTTGCTCTTTCATAAAGAAGTCATGGTGAAACACAAGACAAACAGGTGTGTGTTTAATAAGGACTAACATGATCACAGAAAGAGTATTAACATGAAAGAGGCACAATGGTGCAAAAAAGCGGACCATGATTATTTCTGTGTCAGCAAACAGGCTCTTGATGCAAGTCATGAGTACCCCACGGTAAGCACCAGCCCAAATCACTAGAAAACCGTCTCTTCAGCTGCTGCTGAATTTCTCCAACTACCCGTTTGGCCTACTGATTTTCCATGCTAAGTGTCTGTTACTTAAAGGCGAAGAAGAACAAGAGGAAGGGAGAGAGGATAGAGCTATGGGACATGGAAGATTTAACAGAAGTCAGAGAGAAAGGCACAAAGGAGGAACGTGAGAACAGAAAAGTATAAAAGTTAGTTGGAAGCAATTACCAAGGTTTCTGTATATAAAGTACAAACTCCTTATTCAAGATGAGTCCATGAGGAAGTGTAATAAATTCATCCACACAAATTGAAACATACAGAACTTATCAAATCAAACACCTAGTAAACACGAATCAAATACCAGAAAAAGCAAATACAAAAATCTTACCCATACACAGGTGGTGTTGCTGAAGATGATTCCTCTTTAGAAGAGGCCTTCCACATTTCCTCATGCTTAGATTCACTGTTTCCTAGTTCTCCCATTACACCGTCAGGTAAGCAGTCTGGGCTACTCTGAACTCTTGTTGAATTTGGTTCATCAAAATAAATTGACTATAATTAAAATAAATGCAAAACCAACACTAGAATATATTCACACAAATATATTATTTACACTATTAATGTTGTTTCTTGCAGAATATATGCAGTATAAAAATTCTTTCTCATTAAGTCAGTGAGGTGTGTAAATATCACCTTCCCACCCCACAACGGGCAGTGGCATAAATGTTTTCCAGTACTTTACTTCTTTCAGTATGGGTAATTTCAGCACAAATTAGGCCTGTTATCTCACTACAGCTGATGTCAATGACTGCCACAGTATATTCACGTCTTCAAAAAACAAACTGCAAGCTTCACAACACCTGTGTGAAATACTGTTTTCTTTCATACAAAGGTAGACTACTATAGTCACCTCATTTATGCATGTGTTTTCCTTTCACAAGGACCATTTGCTGATTAAGAGAAAATAGAGCCTCCAGTGCCCTTTATCACATCCTTTCAAAGAATTAGACAAACATTATCCTTTTGTTCCTTCGAAACACCTATTTTTGCAAGCCTCATTAGAACCTGAATTCTGGAAAAGATCAGGTCTCAGTTTTGCACACTGAAAGATTTTTCCAGCATCAACTACAAGATGTTTAACATAAAGGCCTGTATTTACCGCATGCAATTCCACTCAATTAATTCGCAACTGGCTTTCACATTTCTGGCAAATCAAAGACCTAAAAGTATTTTCAGAACGTATTTAAGCAAGTTTGTCTTATAAAGAAGTTACACTCACTAGGTAAGAAGGTAAAGTTTTCAGTATTCCTGGTTCTGGTTTATGTGTAAAAGGATTTTCCAGCACACCTCGCTTCAGCATGTGGAGCAAAAGTTTTGCATATAGGTTCCGATTCCTCCTTCCCACTATTCCTGTGCCTGCTCCTGAGGGTTCATATAGTTTTTCAATCCACAGTACACATCTTTCTCGTTCTAAAAAGACAGATACACATAATCACTATACACTTGCAGAACAAACCAAGCACACAGAAACAACAAGCTATTACCGGTCACCAATTTTGTACATGTTTCCTTTCCATTCAGAAGTTTAAAGCAAAACAAACACACATCCAAACGGCCAAACCAAAGGGAAAAGATAGTTAAATACCTAGATTAAAAATAAGTCTTTAATAATAGTTCAATTATATGTCATCCAGAAGTATTTTCTAGATATTCATGTTTACCAAAAGTTTACATAAATCCTAGAAATAGCAAGTTCAGAATCAATCTCCAGTAAGAACAGATAACTCACGAGGAACTCTGAACTCACTGCAGGAGCTGCCTTTAGCTACAACATACAGCTGGCGTGAGCTGTTTAAACAGACACTAAATCCTCATTCATTCTAAAAATCTTAGCTTATTTACACAAGCTTTGCTATCAGATGATGATACATACTTTGAAGCCAAGTTTTAAAAACCTTCCGTCTAAAAAATATTTGCAATTTTCTAAGTGCAATCTCAGTAACAATGCCTTTTAAAAAGTTCCAGTTTCTACAGAATTGTTTTTTTAAAAGAGAAGTTAATTGTATTCATGCAAAAGCACATTTACATCACCAAGATAAGACAGAAACTCCAACAACAGCAAAAGGTATCCACAATGTCCAACTTTTGCAGTTATACAACCCCCTCAAAACAGTGCCTTGTAACACAAGACATTATCTGGTTAAAGAAAGCAATACAAGTACACGTAATAATTACTAGTAACATAGAATCTTGTTATTAGCATTTCTCTATATGCACGTTTTACCATATTACCTGATCCATGCTGTAGATTTAGAACATGAGGCTTCATATCCACAACACAGCGATCCAATTCTGCATCTAGTTTTCCCCGTAGTTCCTCTTCATTCATTTTGAGGAAACACAAAGTAATCTGCAAAATTATTTGCACTGAAGTAGAAAAGAGCAAATATCACCACGTTAGTCTGTACATCTTAGGCTATGCAAAGACATACTTTGGAACTATAGAGAAAATAAAACTCTTATAATACATACAAACATTCATAAAAGTAAGAGTCATTCTTTGCAAACACCAGATACTCGATGCGTTTGCTTAGATTTGAAAATGAATAGTCAACCACACAAAAAGATATTCAATTACATATCATTTGTATAAAACACCTAAAGGTATTTATGTCATAGCCATGTGTATAAGACACCTGAATTAATCTGTCATAACTTCACTCATAAATTTTTCTTCCTTAATCTGGGTTTGGTTTTTTGGTTTTTGGGTGGTTTTGTTTGTTTGTTTGTTTTAAGAGGGGGAAAAAAAAGGAAGAAAAACAGTAAATAGACCCATGAGTTAAAAGCAAAAGAAGCAAGAAACTTTATAGAATCAGAGAATGGTTTGGG